TTCCCATCCCTTTTTCAAATATGTTAATTTTGTTATCACTTTTTTATCATTTTTTTTGTTTTTTTTGTACATGTTTGAAATAAACTAAACTAAATATGGAGATTGTTGAAGCTTGCAGTTGTTTTTGCACCCTTTTTATTTTACTGTATATAGATTGATTTTGTTTTTATAAATGAACAAAATAAATGTAATAAACTAAAGAGACGAAACTTTTAGCTAATGTTTTGCATTTTAACAACTTATTTTCAGCTAATTTCGGCGCTCAGTATTCACTCTGAAATTTCTCTTTTTAAGAAAAAGTTACTAATAAACTGACTTGAAAACATTTTAGTTCTATCTGGTTTTCATGCTCGCACACATCAGAGGAGTTTTTGTGAATTTTTGTACCAACATGTGTAAACGAAGTACTTGTGTTTGTAAATGAAAACCTGGTCGTGTCGTTCCAGTCTGGCAGAGGAGTTGTTCCAGAAAGTCAAACGGATGTTTGGGAACCCCCATCAGGCCACAGAAGACTTGAAATCAGAGGTAACAACGTCGTCTTGTTCAGAGTCACTGAAGGACTGGGATTAACAGCCCCTCCCTGTCTGCTGTCCCAGATTAAAGACAAGCTGTCGGATCACGAGGGGAAGCTCCAGGAGGCTCAGGATTTGCTTCGCTCTGCCAAGGGAAGAACCAAGCAGGCCGGAGCGCTGTCTGAACAGAACCGAGCCAACCTCACGCTCCTGGAGGTGCAGCAAACACGAGCGCTCTCATTAAGCAGCATAGTTACTGTAACACAAATATAAATATTCACTTAGTAAATGCAGATACTCAGTTCTTGGTACTGTTCCAGTGGAGATGCAACAAAGTTCTGTGGTACTAAAAGACGTCCAAGTTGAGAAGCGTGGCTTGTTAATAAAACCAGACGTTGTGCTTCACAGTGCATCCTGTAGCAGGTGTCTCCCAGATGTGTTCAGCAGTGTTAAATATTCACACACCGCTGCACCTTCAGCAGCATGTTTGTGTTGTAATGAAAACATTTCTGGCAGGTTTTCATGTATCAAACTCACTTTACAAAGATGGATCAACGGAGCAATTTCTCTGACATCCATGCCAGGCCTTTGGACTTTTTATTTATTTATTTATTTTCTTAAGAACAGAACTTTTAGATGCTTTTTATCTGCTGTAGTGTTTGTGTTTTATCTTTTATTCCAGTTCTTTGAAAAATAGTTTCAGGACAAGCAGCCTTTCATGCACAGAGAAGCCAAGGTTTCCATTAACGGCTCTTTTGAAATCTCTCTGGTGCTGGTAAAACTGTAAAACCGCTGTTTACAAAAAGTATTCAAATATATGTGATTTTAAAAAAAGGTAAAATAAAAAAGGACTCAAAATGAATGTATTGATGGAAGAACGTTTTTACAATCAGAAGCCAGCTGTGGATTAAATTTGAATACAGCGTGCTGCCGCTCCACATCCAGCTCTGTTTACTTGCAGAGGAAGCGGGCTGCAGTCAGCGCGGTGAAACAGGAAGCACAGAAGGTCCTCGGAGAAGGAGAAACTCTTCTGGAGGAGGCAAACCAACTTTCTGACAACGTCAACAAGGAGCTGGAGGTACTGAAATAATCAGCAGAAGCCCTGGAACTTTTCAGAACTTTTTGTTTTTATCGTGGCACCTCCTTCCTCAGGTCAGTTTGTGTTTCAGAAAAATGAGCAAGCATTAAAAAAAATATAAACTTTTCTGTCAAATTCCATTGTTTGAATGACAAAGAATGTTTGATAGCTGATATTACTGTGTTACTTTAACCATAACATGTAGAAATAAGGAGCTGATGGTGGTTTAGATCAGGGGTTCTTAACCTTTTTGACCCCGGGGCCCAATTTATTGAACATAAAGTGACACAAGGCCCAGTCAGACATTACCAATGTATGGATCAAAATTATAATTATTCTAAATCTAAATCTTGGTTTCATTTTTATTGTATTTACATTATAACTAAATTAAATACACTAAGTTTAAAAGTAAAACTTCTGTCAAATAATCACAAGACATGATTATAACAAACGTTTTTAAATTCTAACCTGCCCATAACAATTATTTGAACAAATAACAGTCAGTCAAC